ATTGCAACTGTAACAATAGTTTTACCACCTTCTGGGCATTTACCTGACTTTTCTCCTGTACGGATTTTAATATGAATGGAGAATAGCTCCTTTTAAAAGTAAAGGTTCTCTTACAAAACATACACTTATTATTGAGAACCTTCTTATGATTGGTCAGTTTTATAAGCATTTCCTAGTTCAAAATTTTATATGATGATGAAAAAAAGAATAAATTTTAAAGAAAACATAAATACGTTTCATAAAAAAAAAAACGTTCCCATGTTTAAACCTAAGGCGTCGTCATCCTTCTAATATTTAAAAGAAATGGCATTTTTCAGTTTAACATTTTTATTTCCATCAGTTTTGTGCATGTTTCTGCATGTGTTGTTTAAGAGAATATTTACGTGAAAATCTGCGCGAACAAATTTTACATTCGTACGATTTTTTCTCCGTATGGATGCAATTGTGACTGCTATAGTCCGATGTTTGGATGAAACGTTTGCCAAAAAACGAACATTCAAATGGACGTTCGCCCGTATGCTCCATTTCATGAAGCCTCAAATGATCTCTGAAAATTACACAGTAAGATTAAGTTAATAACACGAAATAATAATTACATGTAAATTATAGATGGATACTAGTAATATTAAGCATTATGTCAACACCAATAAAGGTAAAGGCGGAACACAGACAAAAATTTTGTCAAATTATATATAGGGTATTGTTCCAAAAGGCTTAAGTGTAATGTGTAATAGTCTTGTTGACTGGTTATATAATGGTATTAATCAGAGATGGACTGGCTACCCGGTTTGGAACGCAGCGGATCCGGTACTGTTTTTTAGGATCCGGTCGGATACCAGATAATGACGCCGGGTACGTCATTTAAACCTTTATATCGAAGAATAGGAAAACATTGGACTCTAGGTTGGTAGGACCTCAGGAATGAAGGTCTAAGTCAAAGACATATTAGGCGCAGAAACAGGACTTAGGAAGAATAGAGGTCGACCTAGATTAGACTACTGTTCGCAAATAGTTAAGGATGTGGGATGTTCTAATTATTATTATTTTGATCTATCTCGTAGGGTTCAGCCAGCGTTTGCAATGTAAACACAAAAAAATGTGTTTAATTACATCACATTACAAACCTCTAAAAATATCAGTGTTTCTCTACTATAATATGCAGGGGCGGCCTTAGCCATTGCGAGGCTCCGGGCGGGTAGATCTTTGCGAGGCCGTTGTCTTTGTGAAATTAGTTTTAGTGATGATACTTGACGAGAAATGCAAAGTTATTAATAAAAAGGAAATGTGTGCTGGGACACATAGTAGAAGTGAAACTTAAACAGACAATTCGAAAAACGAATCGCAACAAAATTTTTACCTCAAGTTTTACGGGCAGATTGTTAATGTACTCGTCCAATTTGAAAACCTGCCCGTTAAACTTGAAGTCAAAATTTTGTTGCGATTCGTTTTTCCACTTGTCCGTGGAAGTTTCACTTCAATTATGTGTCCCAGCACACATTTTGTTTTCACAGGTTTACTGTAAATTATGATTTGGTTTTCACACAGACAGCAAATAGAGGCAATAGTGCCCAGCCACGTGAAGAGCAGAGGTAAGAAAACAACAGCTGAGCACAGCACACGCCGCCGGGACTCTAGCGGACTCCCCACTCTTCGCGCGGCTGCGCAGTATATCCATCTAATACAGCAGTTGCCCTCTCTCCGCCGCCGTCAGCCTTTCTCTCCGCCGCTGCCACCTCTCTCCCCTCGATATACCGTCTACCCTCTCCACGCGGCCGTAACGCTTTTGTCGTGACAGAAAAAATCGTAATATTCCGCGTCTATATAGAAGTTTCACTTCAATAAATTTAAAGTTTTATAATTGTTTATTGGAAATTAACAAAAATTGTTAAACGCAAAGATAAGAAATTATTAATTATGATGGACTAAGGTAAATTAATGCGAGTGCGCGAGGCCCCTGAAAGAGCGAGGCGCCGGGCGGTTGCCCTGCTCGCCACCCTCAAAGGCCGCCCCTGTGTTTCAATATTATCGGAAAATGTAAATTCTCGACCTCCCAAACTGTTCTAGTAATCAATGCATGTAAATTTTTAAAAATAATTATTTAATAATTTTAGTAAGTACATTTATAAAATTCCTACCATTAGTTGAGAAGGAAAAAGATAATCCACCATTTTTAAGCCATTATATTGCAGTTAGCAAGATTTCAAAGTTCTAACCATTTGAAGTGGTTTTTTAGATAGTTTTAGCTAGTCAAAAGTTAATTACAATTTTTTTTTGGACCACAGAAAATAACTTAAATCTACTGTTACAAAATTTCTCAAACAATATGTAAATATTTTAATAATCACTTGAAATAAGTGTTCATATACCGCTGACTGTTTTAAAAGTCGAAAATGTTTCAGCAATGTAATAAATGACTTCATTGATAGCCAAAATATTTTATTTATAAGTGCCCCTACTACAGCAGGCGAGGCGCTCAAATGATGAATCAGCGATGTTTATTAAAACGGATGGTGACGACAAAAAGTGTCAAAAATACTTTCTGTTGACATTAATCTACAACCGTATATTTAATAACACACAGTTCAATGAATATCTAAATATCATCGATTTATTTAAATTCTATTTTTATCAACTTTTACTTCCATTAATTTTCTACAAATCTTACAATTCTCGATCACATTTATCAACTTTCTTTTATTTTCCATGAACAGTAGATTTCATTTATTACGACTTTGGCTATAGCGACCATTTTCCTATTACGACGTTAAATCGAAGTCCCTTGAATTTAAAGCATACTTTAGTACACAATTCATGTGACTATAGCGACTTCGGATGTAACGCCGAGTTCGGGTATNTGTCAGGGGTACAGAAAAGGACATAGGGTACCTTTTATTCAAAAAAATAAATACTGTTTTCGAGAAATAGAAAAATTATTTTTATGTGGTCGATTTCACGCCTTAACTGCTCGATCGATCATTATGAAATTTTGTAGAATCATTGTCAGGGGTACAGAAAAGGACATAGGGTACCTTTTATTCAAAAAAATAAATACTCTTTTCGAGAAATAGAAAAATTATTTTTATGTGGTCGATTTCACGCCTTAACTGCTCGATCGATCATTATGAAATTTTGTAGAATCATTGTCAGGGGTACAGAAAAGGACATAGGGTACCTTTTATTCAAAAAAATAAATACTCTTTCCGAGAAATAGAAAAATTATTTTTATGTGGTCGATTTCACGCCTTAACTGCTCGATCGATCATTATGAAATTTTGTAGAATCATTGTCAGGGGTACAGAAAAGGACATAGGGTACCTTTTATTCAAAAAAATAAATACTCTTTCCGAGAAATAGAAAAATTATTTTTATGTGGTCAATTTCACGCCTTAACTGCTCGATCGATCATCATGAAATTTTGTAGAATCATTGTCAGGGGTACAGAAAAAGACATAGGTACCTTTTAACCTGAAGAAAACATGCTGTTTCCGAAGGAAAGAAACAATTATTTTTATGTGGTCGATTTCATGCCTCAACTACTCAATCAATCATCATGAAATTTTATAGAATCATTGTCAGGGGTCCAGAAAAGGACATAGGGTACCTTTTATTCAAAAGAATAAATACTGTTTCCGAGAAATAGAAAAATTATTTTTATGTGGTCGATTTCACGGCTTAACTGCTCGATCGATCATCGTGAAATTTTGTAGAATCATTATCAGGGGTACAGAAAAAGACATAGGTACCTTTTAACCTGAAGAAAACATGCTGTTTCCGAAGGAAAGAAACAATTATTTTTATGTGGTCGATTTCACGCCTTAACTGCTCGATCGATCATCGTGAAATTTTGTAGAATCATTGTCAGGGGTACAGAAAAGGACATAGGGTACCTTTTATTCAAAAAAAAAATACTCTTTCCGAGAAATAGAAAAATTATTTTTATGTGGTCGATTTCACGCCTTAACTGCTCGATCGATCATCATGAAATTTTGTAGAATCATTGTCAGGGGTACAGAAAAAGACATAGGTACCTTTTAACCTGAAGAAAACATGCTGTTTCCGAAGGATAGAAAAAATTATTTTTATGTGGTCGATTTCATGCCTCAACTACTCAATCAATCATCATGAAATTTTGTAGCACTTTGTCAGGGATACAGAAAAAGAAATAAGGTACCTCTTATCCAGAAGAAAAAATACTTTTTTTTTTCGAAGGATAGAAAAAAATACTTCCTTGTGGTCGATTTCACCCCTTAACTATTCAATCGATCATCATGAAATTTTATAGGCACATGGTCAGGGGTACAGAAAAGTAGATAAGGTAGAAGAAAAAATGCTGTCCCCAGGGATAGAAGAATTAATTTTATGTGGTCAACGATGACCTTTGATACGTATTTAGGACACCAACGTGAGCGAAGCCGCAGTCAAATCTAGTATCATAATAAATCAGTCTCGCAAATAGACTCACATCTTCTGAATACTGACTTCGCAAACAGACCCTAGTCGCATCCTGACAAATAGACTGGATACTGTTATCTTTCTCTATTAGCATTTCGCACGCTATAGAGGTATTAATTATTACTTACTCTTTAAGAAATCTCCGTCCACAGGTTTCACATTTCAATGGATTTTCCTTCGAGTGGATGAGCATATGTCGATCTAAATTTCGTTTACGGGAATATCTTTTTTGACACACTTGACACGCATGCTCATACATTTTTTTTCCGGTATGGAGCGGAACGTCCGGTTCTCTGATGAAACATGTAATTGGAAGCTTATCCATATCTAATTTTTGATGATGCACCAAGCTGTTTCTGAAAATTACATAGGCAAAATTAAGTTAACACCACGAAATAGTAAGTAAATTCAAATTAGCAATGCATCTTAGTAACATTAAACTGATAAGAACAGATACAACACTTGTCATTTGGTTCTGCAACACGTGGTAAATAGCTTCGAGTTAAAATTTAATTTATAGTGGTTTTTGCTCACTTAGTGAGATGAGGTAATTAATATGATATTAGAAGCATAAGTAATGTCATAAAAAAGGATAAAGGATGTAGAGTCAGAAATAAACTAAGTAAAAAAAAAATGGAATAGGATGGAAAGATACGCTGAACAGAAGTAATTCAACAGTAAATACAAGTGAAACCGATAATGGAAACGATAGGAGAGAAAGCCTAGGAAGCTGAGTGACTAAAAGTAATATAGAAAAGGTGGCAAGAATAGAAAACTGAAGAGTACTCAAAAACAAGCGAGAAATAATAAATGGAAGAGTTTGGAGAGTGATAAGATGGATTTTCTATTGGAAGAAACGATGAAAAAATATATACAAAGATGGAATAAAATTAGAAAAATGGAAGAAATAAGTAGATGAACGAACTTGCAGCAAAAGTTTAATAAAGTACAGTAAGAAAATAAAGGAATAAAAGAAAAGATTAGAGTTAAGAGATAGAGAGAAAAATTAAGATGGAGAAGAAGTTAAATTTGATGATATTTGGAATGGAGTTAGAAGGCTGAAGATTGGAAATGGTGGAAGTAGGTAGATAAGGAGAAGGTGAAGATTGAAATAAATATTTTGAAGGTTTGGAAGTAAAAAAAGAGGTTTTCGGGATGAAGGTGGATAGCATGTAGAAATATTGAGGATGAATAAGAAAATTTTTAAAGGAGCAAATACATTTTTAAAGAAAGACGAGAAGATAAAAGAGAGGGATATAGAAAAGATTATATGGCAAATGGTGAAAGGATGAAAGGAAGGGAATGGAAACTGGGATATAAAAAAGTAAAAATATGGGATGAAGAAAAGAAGAGAATGGTAATGATAGAGGAACCCCTTTGATGGATACTAGTTACAAGATTTACACTGACATAATAAAGAATAGACTAGAGAATATAACAATAATAAAGTTTTGAGTGCAATGCACTTCCTATTTACAGAAAATAAAGGAACGATAGATGCAATTTACATAATTAAAAACGCGGTGCAAACATATATGGAAAAAATTAAATGAGGGCAGACCTAAAAATGGCGAATGATTCAGTAAACAGAAAATGAAATAGGAAATGGTAAGAATGCTGGGAAGTTCTGGATAGAAAAAAAGTATAGGCGATAATGAAACAGATGATGTTGCTCTGCTAGCAACAAGTTATAATGCATTAAGAGGAATGGTAAGACTATTGAAATTATATTTAGAGAAGAAAGATTTAGAATTAAATTAAGAAAAGACTAAAATAATAGAATTTAGAGAGACAAGAGGCAGGAAAAAGAAGTAGAAGTAAAATGGAAGGGTATGGCAATTCAAAGGGTCAAAGAATGCAACTACTTGGGATATATGATGAGAGAAAATAACAAGGATGTTGCACGTATTAATATTAAAATATCAAAGGCAAATGTAGTAAACAATTGAAAAAATATGAATGGGGCAAAAACTATGCAGATACGATTGAGAATGAGAAATAATAATTCAATTATTGTTATCAGTGTTATCTTCTATGAGGTGTAAATCATGGGGTTGGAAAAGTGAAGTATATTTATAAAGAATACATAAAATAGATATTAAAATTGGAAAGAAGCACGACTGACGACTGTATTTTAAGAAGAGAAACGAATTGTGGAGAAATGTTGGAGGAGACTAGGAAAGCAATCATATATGAGGAAAAATTGAAGCGTTTACGATAAATAAAGAGCAATTGATATAAAAATGTTGAAAGGAATATAGAATATGATAAAGAAAAGGTGCTATGAGGTGACAAAGGTCGAAATATGTGGATGGGGTGAAAGGGTGGATGGGAAGATTGGCAGGGAGATATAAGACCAGAGATAACAATTATAACAAGGTTTAGAATGGGAAACGAATGTAATGAGATTAAATATTGTTTAAAACAGAAAGAGAGAAAATGCAGAAGAGAATATTAGAGTTTGTCATGTGATCGAAAAGGATGAGGAAAATGAAATAGGGAGTTAACACAAAGAAACATTAGGAGCAGAACGCAAGGATGCAACTCTACTTAAGAAAGTTTTAAGAGATAGTGAGCAAAAGAAAGAAGGAGTAAAGTTTTGTTTTATTTAAAATTAAAGGTTGAGGTAAATTTTAAGAATTAATGGTGTTTTATTTGTTGGTTTATATGATAAGCACAGGGTAGAAAGTAATTTTTATGTAATAGTTTTTGTAATTATATAACTTAATATAATAACATTAATAATATTTCTGTCCAAAGGTTTCACATTTAAATGGTTGAGATTTGTTTTTACCATATATGTACTAATATAAGAGCATTGCAACTGTAACAATAGTTTTACCACCTTCTGGGCATTTACCTGACTTTTCTCCTGTACGGATTTTAATATGAATGGAGAATAGCTCCTTTTAAAAGTAAAGGTTCTCTTACAAAACATACACTTATTATTGAGAACCTTCTTATGATTATTTTAATTTACTTTTAAAATAAAAACATAACCTCTATATCATGGATTACAGTTAACTCTTGATTTGGCTACATCTATGGGTACAATAACAAATAGAGAATGAAATTGTGTGAATTTGGCACCCAATATAAATAATCCACTGATTCAAACTTTACTAGTAAATTATGCGTCGTTTGCGAATTCTAAATATGTAAGTTTTGTAATTGTGCGTCCAGTACTTCTGTTACAAAAAACGAAAATTGTTTCGGGTGCAGGTGGAAATTAAATGTTAATTTATTTAAAAACTACTGTATATATGATAATTCATTTGATGCCAATTGCTTGCGTGTCATTTGTGCTTTAAAACTGATCTAATATGGTAAGCGGAATTTATCTTTATATTATGTATTAGTACTATTCACATATTACTTAATTTTTCATTCATATCAGTGGGTTATTTATATCAGGTGCCAGTTCACACTACTGGAGAATGAGGAATGGAGTCAATACTACGACCGTAGAAGTTACTAACTATAGAAATATGTGTTTCTGTTATCTGTGGAAACTACGAATGGGGTACGTTCTATTTATTACTCCATTAGTTATCAACGCTTAGTACGTAGATTTATCATTCCTCTTAAAAATGAATTAAATTCTATTTACTTATGAGTGAAAATTATTCGTTTAAGTTGTTATCCCAGTAAATTATTAATACTTAAAAAACTAATAAAATACAACCTTTTTAAAAAAAATATCCTTTCAAAGTGAAACAATAAATAACTAGCTGAATTTGGGTTTCGTATGGAAGATGAGTATTAAAAAGATGTTGGGGACCTTTGAAAAGGTCGAGAGGATGGCACAGTATTTCCTTGATAATTGCTTCTGAAACTTATATGAAGAGCACAATAAATGTATTGTTATAAAAGACGTTCAATGTTAGAAATGTTTGAAAAAGAAACCAATTGTAACAATAACATGAGGAATTGCAGTGATATATACCAGATTTCTCAAAAAACTAGACACTCTCGATGGAGAACGAGGCTCGTCGGAGGCAAGGCTCTATTTGTGCTAAGACTCATTCATGTTGGAAAGAGCAAAATCCATTTGTTAAGGATAGCAATATTCTGGTAAAAAAATAGAAGGGATTGTAGAACAAAACAGCGTAATGTATGAGGGATGAATCTTAATGCATTCATTTGGTACCTACATTTTAAAAATTTGGAAACATTCACTAATTCATTCGACTGTTAACTGTGTGCCTCGCTGGTACAACCAGGGACTGAGTTCCAGATAAACTGTAAAACACTGACGACCATTGCTTTTAGTTGTTTTATCACTGCTCAATCAAATCATCGCCCACGAATTAGATGTCTCATAAAATTTATATATATGTTCATGGAAAAATACATTTTTTCATTTCTGCGGGGTAGTTCATATGTGGAAACTGGGATATAAAAAAGTAAAAATATGGGATGAAGAAAAGAAGAGAATGGTAATGATAGAGGAACCCCTTTGATGGATACTAGTTACAAG